AAAAGAATGTTTTATTGGTCTATTATAATTTAATCTACACTAATACTTTACATGAGTTTGTCTAAAAACTATAAATATGTACATTTTTAAACTTTATTTTTAAAATAAAAACTAAGTTAATTTTAAATATGTAATTAATATAACTCTAACATTATATTATAGATTACATAATAGATGGTAACATTAAAAGACTTTATATATTAAGAAGGAAAAAACTAACAACATAAATAATTCAGTAGTAATTTCTTTCAATTACAAATAAAAAGTTTTAAATACAAAGTAAAATATGATTAAAAAATAAGAAAAAATTATCTCTTATTATGTAATTAATACAAAATAAAAAAGTGCAACCAACATAAAAATAAAAAAAAAATTCTTTTGTCTTTTTATATTTGGGTTTGTTATGTTAATTAATGAATCTCGAAAATGAACCGTTGGCGAGTGAGAGTTACCGTTGAGCAGCGCGTGAGAATTAGCGTTTGTGAAACTCGGAGGATTACCTAATGCAGTGTAAATGGCCCAAAAAAAAAAAAAAAAAACAAATGCGGTGTTAAAATTTTTGTGGATAAGCGTCTGTCGGCCTACGGCCTAAGGCCCAGTTAAGATCGGATTATCTGACTCGGCCCAATTTTAGTTTGAGGCTAAATCTAACTCGCGTTCAAGCCCACTTTTACTCATTAAAAAATAAATAAATTTGCATCTCATAATACGTTGTCATTATTCATTAATTAATATATTTACAAAATAAGTTTTGCATTTCAATATATAGTCGAACACTTTTTAAACCAATGCACATCATACATCATGTTAATCATGTAGAAACTCGGGATGGAAGTACCTATTGTACTAAAGTATTTTCATATGTTGGAATAAAGTCGTGATAAATAATAAAATGTTGAGAAGAAATAATATTATGAGTATGTTGTTTTATAAGTTAAATTATTCTAGTTTTTCTTTTGGTATTAACTTCTTAATATCGGATAATCACATTGAATTTTGATTAATTTAGAATCGAATTGTATTAAATCTCACAAGGAAAACTCTTCTAATACATATTTCTCCATTCATAAGAATCAAACTCAAGATCTTATTCAAGAGAAATCGAATTCTTTTCACTTAAATCGACAGATCATTAATATTTTTCTATATTATAAAACAACAACTCTTAGAGTGAGAGAGAGCCTTTAATTAATATCTAGGGCTATTTCCTCATCAAATGATTAATATTTAATAGTCCAAAACAATCACAACTTTAAATTAATTTTTTTGTAGTAATATTAAGTTAAGACTTAAGAGATCATGCATTTAAATTACTAGTATGATACGCATTCGTGGATACATACAAAGAATGCATTAGTACTATAAAAGAATGGGAGAACCAAGGTTATATACCTCCCATTGTGTAATAATTATTCGATACCAAACATAGTTTTATAGTAGTATATCTAATATGAAATTGGGGGGGAGGGGGGATAGAAAAACAAATAATTAGTAATGGAAGGAAAATATGTTAACGTAATTTTATTTTATTTATTAGGGGAAATTACAAAGCAAAACTTCATTTAGTACATTCTACATTACCAAAAAGATAACATAGAGATGTTAATTAAGTAGACTCTAGGGTCATTAATTACTTTATATGAAATATTAGCCTCTCTATTGTGACTAAAGTCACATATTTATTAGTGCACAAAACATTTCTCTAGTCAAACCCATATTGCTCCAGCCCTTCTCAGCATTGGGATTAGAGAACGATTCAGGTGATGGCTCATGACCTCATTGGATCCACCTACAAGCTCACCGCCGATGAATACTGCTGGCACAGTGGGGCTGCAGCCAAGTCTCGAGAGGGCTTGCTCGATCTCACGCCCTCTCGGCATCTCATCTAGCTCGTGGACCGTGGGGTTCACGCCAAAGTCACAGAAGAGGGTCTTGATGGTGTGGCACATGCAGCACGTACTCTTGCTGAAAATCACCACTGGCTTCTCCGCTGTTAGTTTTGTCACTGTCTCCATTGCAGAATAAACTTGGAAAACCCTAGACGGTAATCCTAAACACAATGCTAAGAGCGAGAAGACTCGAAGAGAAAAGAAAACAAGTGAGAGATGTGTCTCTTTTGGTTTTGTTGGTGTGGTACGAGCTGGAGATAGCGAGATGGTTTATATAGGGTTTGATGAGGGAGGAGATGAGAATAAAATTGGGTGGTTTGATGACGAAGAAAATGAGAATTGTTCCATTAGATATTTGTGTCGGTTTCGAATTTCTCTCTTTCTCTCTTTGATCATTACATTGAAAATGATATGAGAGCAATGAGAAAAAGAAATAAAGAGATTGCACCATCACGAATCTTTCTTTTTGTATAGGGAAACATAGACATAATCCTTTGTACAACTACCCAAAACACTAACGTTTCATGGGGCATTAATATTTAAGTTTGTTGTCGTAGTGACTCAATAAATATTGTTAATAAATCATTACGTTAATTAATGACCCAAGAGGTCTGTTATGGGTAATACAAAATGGGTCCATTCTTCCATCCTATGATGGGTCAAAATTTTATTGCGAAAGTGGCAGAGCTATCATGGAGGCATCTGCTGAGTTGGAGAAAGGGAAGTTGGTTTTATCCAGTTGGGACCTTCGCTGTGCTGTTGTAATAGATGCTAAAGGCATCCAATTCACGAAGAAAAGAAAGCAAAGAAAACAACATAAATTGTTCAAAAACACAGCAGCTCGATCGCAATCCATCAGTTGGATGAAAGCCTCAGACATCGTATTGAGATTGTTGATCTACGTAAACACTTATCCAGAAAGAAAATTCCAAGCACACGATTTGATTGTTTGTTTCCCGGGAAAAGTAAAAAGGAAGGAGAAGAGACAGATGCCATGAATAGACCTAGGTCCCCAACATCATTCCTTCTCTAATTTCCTTTACTCTCCTCTTTTTTTCTTTTTTGTTGGTAAGCCAAAAATTTATTTCAATGGATGCAAGGAGTACCCCAACCCATAAAGGGATAAACGTTTTCATCACTTACAATGATACTACCATTCCCAGCCTATAAACAATAAGAAATTAGAGGCACAACCCAAAATATGGGACGAAATCTTTGCTGGCCTCCTTATATTCCCTCTTTGGGGTCAGCCTTCCATAAATCCTGTTGTAACTCTGGGAACAAATTTCCTTTTCTCTTTAGCCAATGCTATGTTATGTGTATTAAGTGAGCACTGCTTAATTACATATATGAAAAAGTGCATATAGAAAGCTAATTAGGGGAACACTGATCTATAATATAATTAATTAAAAAGCAAAATTTTGATGAATAATTTATAGTCCTCAAGAAAATTCTAGAGAAAAATCACATATCGATGTATCCATCAAAAGCATCATTGCTTTGATTAACTTTTCTCAACTTTCTAATTTTAGTTGAAACATTTTATATGATTGATTTTAGACCAACTCAAAAGTGTATGTATTTTATTCAAA